AGATGAGCCCATGGCCATGCCATGCAGCTGCCCCTAGCTGGTCCCTGCAGGTAGGGGAGCCTGTGGTGCACATGCTATGAAGGGAAGGACCCTGCTCCGCCCTGAGGAGCCCTTGCAGTTAGAGCCCAGGCACCCACTTGCCTCCAGGATATTCCTTGCAGGGCATATAGAGATTCCTTGAAAAATGGAGGCCATTTGTGCCTCCTCCCCTCCTGAGTGGATGCCAGGTTGCAAGGAGCCCTAGGCCAGGCACTCACCGACACGATGCAGGAACAGCTTGCCCTTGGCAGGGAAGCTGTAGTTGATGACGTTGTCCAGCATGGGGATGTCCAGCCCGCGGGCGGCCACGTCCGTAACCAGCAGCACTGGGCACTTGCCATGGGAGAACTTGGCAATGTTGATCTTGCGGGCAGTTTGATCCAGGGAGCTGTAGATGTGTGTGCACTGGATGCCCTGTGCTGTCAGCAACTGCACAAGGAGAAAGAGTGATCAGATCCCACCTAGGAAGGCACCCTCAGCCAAGAGACAGGGTCCCCCAGGTCCCTGAGACCCCCGGATGCCCAGCCTGACCTCTTAAACCCCACTGGGTACCCCCAAATGCTACTTGCCTCTTTGAGATACTCCGTGTGGTGCTTGGTGGCCACGAAGACGACTGTCTGGTCCTGGGGCTTCGCCACACTCCTGAGCAGGTGGAGCAGCACGGCTGGTTTGTCGTCGCCACGTACGTGGAAGAAAGCCAGCTGTGGACAGAGGGCTCAGCCACCTCCTGACCCTCCAGGACCCCATGCTCTTGGGGACACCCCCAGCTACCTGTCCCCTCCCTAGTGCCTTCCCCCCGCATCTCCTGCTTTAACAACACACAACACTAGGTGAAAGGCAACAGGTCAGCAAGGTTGGGGTCTTCCCAGCCCTGGTGTGTTGAGTTTTCTGCCCCATCTTTTATGTTTAACTCCCAACGCAGCTGTACTCGAGGTTGGGGATGGCTCACAGGCCACCCTGGCTGCTTGCCAGCCCACAGCACTTTAAGGTAGGAAGGACCCACAGCCATGCGCAGCTGCCAACAGGACAGATCCCACAGCAGACACTATCCCCTCTTCCTTGAAGGCCGCCTTGTCACCACAGGGCCTCTGCTGGCCATGGCTAGCAGCAGGTGCAGGGTACCCTAATGGCAGAGGGAGATGCACCAGGTGACTGACCCCTGGTGTCTTGAAGACCCCCCTGTCCCTCTCACCTTGAGCTGCTCGCTGAGCTTGGACTCCACATCCAGGCGGATCAGCATGGGCTCCGTGAGTCCTGTGGGATGAGACTTGGTCACACACTGCTAATCTTAACCTGACTGTCCCCAGTCCAACCCCTGCAAGTCATTTTCCACCCCCTGGTCCTCACCTGCGCGAGCAAACTCCACGAGCAGCTTGGGCAGCGTGGCTGAGAAGAGGACGGTCTGATGGCTCTCTGGGAGCCGAGCGATGATCTCCTGGAGCTGCTCCGCAAAGCCCATCTCAAAGAGTCTGCAGAGGAAGGGACACAGGACATCAGAGCGCTGGCACATCCCACACCCGGCCTTGCCACCCACCAGCACCACCCAGCCCAGGCTCCTGCCCTGCACGTCTCCCACCCCCAGCACGGGCTCATCCCTCAGTCCAAACATGGGACACGCAGCTTCCTTTCGAGCCCACGACCCAGCCACTGTCATGCCACGCTCACTGACCTGTCGGCCTCGTCGAACACCACGTACTCCACGCTCTGCAGCTTCAGGTTCATTTCCACCGCCACGTGCATCAGGCGCCCCGGGGTGGCGATGATTCTGCAGGGAAGAGAGCCCGCAATGCTCGGCCAGTGACCCCAGGGAGGGGCCTCTCCAGTGTCCCCAGTGTCCCCCAGAAGCCTCTCCGGGGGTGCCGTACATGCGGCCCCAGAATGGGACGGGTCTTTCCCATCTTTGCGGGTGCTAGAACACAAGTCTGGCTCAAAGAAGACCTGGCAGAGGCTCCCTTGTCCCATAGAAGGAGCACAGTGAGATGCTCTGAAGGAAGCCTAGGATGTGTCTGTTGGACACGGCTGTAAACACCACGATCACCCTAGGAACCTCCTGCATGATGGCAACCCTTGGGTGGCACAGACGATGAGGACGAACTCAGCTTGTGTTTGGACAGCACCAGTAGCAGGATCGGGCAGTTTATGCGGCTGGGGCTACAGCGGGCCTGCAGCCCGCTCCAGCAGCTGCTCCCAGGATCACCCCACCAGGGTGCACGCCTAGTGATCCTCGTCACAGCTGCCCTGCCAGCTCCCCCAGACACTCACACGTCGGGGTTCTCGTGCAGCGCAGCAAACTGGTCCTCCATCCTGCAAGAGAGAAGTGAGCCTGAGACGGGGCCGGTGGCAGAGGGACAGATCAGCCCACCTGCCTTCGTGACACTTCAGGGACGCTGGGCCGAGCGCCTGCACAGCACGAGGCGGAACGGTGGCAATGACACTGCGAGTGACTTACTTGTCTCCTCCCAGCACAAGGGCCGTCTTCAAGCCTGTGAACTTGCCCAGCTGCAAGGAAAGGGAGGAACATGGCGGGTTACAAGCAGACTCGGCACCAACTCGAGTCCCTGCGCTGTCCCCCTGCTGCCAGGGCTGGGAACGTGCCACAGCGGGCAGGTGGGCCAAGAGGGCACCCGCTTGGCACGTTTTCCTCCTGCCTGCCCTCCCCTTGGTGGATTAAGGACGGGGTGGGCCACGTGCAGAACCAGAGGCATCCCCAGGTGAAGGACAGCGCTTGATCATCAGCGGCACTACGGGATAACGACGGCCTTCACCCTTCACAGGCCGCCCCACAGCTCCTGCAGCAGGAGCCCCATGGCCTCATGGAGCCCCACAGCACATCACGGAGCCCCACAGCATGTCACAGAGCCCCAAAGAGCTTCACTGACCCCCCAAGAGCCTCTCAAACCCCACAGAGCTTCCCCGAGCTTCATGTAGCCCCCACAGAGCGTCATGGAGCCCCAAAGAGCTTCGGGAAGCCTGCAGGCTTCATAAAGCCCCCCACAGCCTCATAGGGCACCCCACAGCTTCATGGAGCACCCCACAGCTTCATGGAGCCCCACAGCTTCTCGGCGCCGCTTGCGCTGTTGCTGCTCCCTGCCCTCTGGCGCAGCCCGGCTACCTCCTTGGTGAACTTCATGGTCTGCAGGGCCAGCTCGCGGGTGGGCGAGAGGATGAGGGCTCGCGCGCCCGACTGGGCGCTGGGCGCCTTCAGCTTCTCGAACATGGGGATGAGGAAACAGGCCGTCTTCCCGCTGCCCGTGCGCGCCATCGCCACCACGTCCTTGCCGCCGAGGATCACCGGGATGGTCTGCAAGACAGAGCCCGTTGTCCTTGCCGCCCATCGCGGTCCCGGTCCGGTCCCCCGCATCCCGGGCGGGTCTCACCTTCCTCTGGATGGGGGTGGGCACCTTGTAGCCCTTCTTCATGATCCCTTTGAAGACAGGGTAGCTCAGGCCTGTGGGACACACGGGTCAGGCCGCAGAGTGACACAGGCAGCCGGGTCCGGCCCCTCAGCCGGAGCAGACCCAGCTCAACCCCATTCCCAAGTGGGAAATGGCCCCGATTCCAAGGATTCCCCCCATGGCGCGGCCCCGCACACGCACCCATGGACTGGAAGCCCCCGGATTTCTTCTTCTTGTTCTGCGCCCGCACCAGGGCCTGGGTGTCCAGCTCGGCAGCAGCCTCCTCAGCAGCAGGAAAGGCCGGCAGCGCCGCCGGGGCCTGCGGAGGGCAGGACGTCACGGTGAGGGGCACCGCAGGGAGGGACGCGGGGAGCTGGGGACACGGGGGACACTGAGCACAGGGCAGCTGGGGACAGCGGGTGTGCTGGGCAGCAGGGACACCGGGCACCAAGGGGGCTGGACACTGGGGACACAGCGGGCAGCACGGACATGGGGACAGCGGGCACGGGGGGACACCGGGTACACAGGGCGCCAGGGACACGGGGGAC